AGGCCAGTGCGATTTGGGTCCATAGTTGTACTCCTCAAAGTCACAAGATGGGAACCCTCTCTTCAAAAAATACATATTCCAAGTGTAACATTGTATGTGCAAAACGCATACAAGCTTAGAGATAGATTGCTTTCATAAGAACTTACATAATCTGGCAATCCACAGCGATAGAAGGCAGTGAATGCTCCACGTTGGCTGGGAGTAGTTAGTCGCGCCAACACTCCACAATGGCATCTAGGAGGATTGGCTAGACGGTACAAAGCAGCGTCAACCTTCTCTGCCTTTGTCATTTCTGGAGGGTTCGGTGGCGGCGCAACCCAATGAACATATTCTACATATGGAACACTCTTCCAGGGGTCATAAGGAAACAACATAATCAACGGCTCGAACATTTCATCGCCATCGATCCACTGATAGAAGTTGCATCCCTCTAGGTAGGCATCAAGTGTAGGGGACGTCGCTTAAGTTGGCAACAGTAGAAAGCATGCCCAGCTGACGCGGGATGCCTTGACTGCTTCACAAATGCCGGTAACCCACAACCCACAGTAACACAACGGTGTTGGCTCTGCTGGTAGAAAAGGACCGATAGCACCATGATCCTTCGGATGGTGCACGAATTGGTTGTTATTTGAAACCGCCATTGAACCTATTACAAAGTAGTTCAACAAAGCAAAGATATGAACCAATAATATTTACAGTTCAACAATAATTTCCATCTCAATCATCTCTATAATTATGTAAACCCATGAAGCCAAACCCTAAAACAAACTTGTTGAATGTAAATGATGTCTATACATACATAGTCTAACTCATCTATACATCTAATCAACACAAAAATACTTGAAATCACACACTTCCAAGAAGGTTTACTAACAACACTCCAACATATACTGCTGTCTAAACTAGTGCAGTCAAACCCTAATGCAGTGCCAACCAAAATCAATCAAAAAATCATACAAGTTCAACAAATACATCATGAACCATAATATATTAAACGTGATTAGCCAAAGCAACTTTCATTAAACCAAACGAAAGCCAGTGATTACACACAAAGTGAGTGTAAACCAGAAAAGATAAAAACATCAACTAAACAAAAAATAACTTGAGAGGTGAGGGAGTCATACCTCATGCACGGGACCGATCAAACCTAAAATGCAAATGCAAACTTCATCAAAGGCAAATAGAGGATGGGAGGAAGAGAAGAGAGACAACACTGGTGCATCAGCTCACCTCGAGGTCACCCTGAATGAGGGAGAGAGAAGAGAGGGAGAAAAATCGAGCTCGGCCGCTGCCTTTATATGGGCCTGTCGCGCCAGCCCGCCTGGCGCGGCAGCTCTGCCGCGCCTGAGTCGTTGGAGCGACAGGGTGGGGCCCACAGTACGCCACGCCAGTATCGATCAAACATGAATGCCACGGTGGCTCGGCTTGTCGCGCCACCGCATGTGGCACGACAGCGTGGTACAGTCGCGCCAGACGCGTTGACACGATCAAAATGGTCAGATTTGCAAATACTTTTTTTTCAGATTAGTATTAAAATATTGTTTAAAAATTGATTAAAAATAAAAAAATCCAAACGATAACGATGTACTGTTCAGGCTGGTGAACAGAGACAAGACGTGTGTGTCCACATGCAGACGTGGATGATGAGGACGGGTGCGGTGGCGGGCGCCGGGCCAATCTGGTGCAGAGCGCGCGTGAGGTCTCCACCCGCACTGCCTAGTCAGCTTTGTGGTGGTACTGCTGGGTGCTGGTACACAGTCGTGCATGCATGTGAGGACTCCTCTGCTCTGGCACCGGCAGCCTCCACTCTTTGATTTCCCTTGAAATTTTATGTGTGCTTTCGCCACCAAGAATCTCCGTCATCTTAGTCGGCCTGTTGGCTGGTTGTCTATGATAAGTCTGACCGATACTGGTTTGTTGTAAGAGAAAAATATTATTGGCTGATTGATAAGTTATGACTGAAACCAATCAGCGAACAGACTAACTATCTCCTTGTTCTAGCTCGGCCACTCTTTGGTGCAATCTCTCTTGCTCGATCGTAGATGGAGGATGTGCTGTTTGGGTCATCATCAGGCGTGTGCCGGCCACACGACTATTTTTGTGAATACGTATGTCACGTTTGTTTGTTGAAATAAGGTGCTACAAGTCTCGTCGTTAATTATCCTTTGGATTAGATGGGGCTTATAAAAAAAAGTTTTGCCTGATTTAAATATTTCGGTTTATATAATCAAGCTTACAGCCTATTTTGAAGTATCTGATCGACAAACCACACACCGATAGACCTTGTAAAGAAAAGCTATCACCTAACTCTCCTTAGATTCAATTCAAGTTGGGAAGAATAGACTTGTAGCAGACATCAAGAATTCAAGATTGGCTAAAGGAAGCCCCCAACGTGCAGCAGCAAGATTAGAAGGAGAGATTCTTGGTGGCGGGCAAGAAAAGAAACTCTACGCTAAGTCACTAATCAAGCAGTTGCTGTAGCATTGGAAAGAGTTTTTTTTTCACACCTAGCTAGTCTCTGGCCCCATTCGCCCATTGAAAAAAAGCCAAACAATTGTTCTAATTTGATTTGTTGAGAGAGAAAACATCTTAAATTACCGAAAAATGTTGAAAAGACGAATTATAAGAGAAGCGACGAAGGGCCTCTGTTGCGTTCTTGCCTGCTCCAAGCAAGCACGGTGCACGGATCGTCAAAAGAGCTGCAATGGCTAACTCATCAAACTAAGGATTGAGCGGCACTAGTTCGTTCATGTTGTTGTTATATTCTAGTTCTAGAACCTATGATCATGTGAATCTAACAGTGCTCACATATATCAAAGCAATAGTACGTCATCAGTGGGAATGGAATCAATCGATACGTGGCCGGTGCTTGCTAGCAACAGCTGAAAGGAGGTGATTCCAGAGGACAGACTGGGATGAGGGACGGAGGCGTGTCAAAAGGTACTTAACTAACAACCATTCAGAGAACAGTGATCCGTAGAACGAAAATGGTTCACTATTGAGGCTGACGACGATGAACAGAGACAAGGCGTGTGTCCACATGCAGACGTGGATGATGAGGACGGGTGTGGTCCACAGGGCGCGTGAGGCCTCCACACGCACAAGCCTAGTCAGCTTTGTGGTACTGCTGGCAGCCTGGTACACAGGTCGCATGCATGCACGATTTTCCTTGGACTTTTGTGTGTGTGCTGTCCCGACCACGAATCTCCCTCATCTTATCTCCTTTGTCTTTGGTCGCTCGATCTTTCATGCAATCTCTTGCTACGTCATAGTGGAGGATATACGCATGCTGTTTGCTGTTTGGGTCATTATCAGGCGCGCGTGTGCCCACCACACGACGGAGTATGTTTGTTACTAAGGCCTTGATTCCAAGTTTTTTCACTCTCTCTTCATCACATCAAATTTTTGACACATGTATAGAGTATTAAATATAGATAAAAAAATAACTAATTACACAGTTTGATTGTAAATTACGAGACGAATCTTTTGAGCCTAGTTAGACCATGATTGGACAATAATTGTCAAATACAAACAAAAGTGCTACAGTGCCGAATACTGATTTCTAACCGCGAACTAAACAAGGCCTAATCAATGAACAATACATCATGCATGCATGTTTGTTGAAACGGTGTGTGCTACAAGTCTCATGGTACGTTTCATTCCTTGCATTATCCTTTAATCTGGAGCGACGGAGGAAGCGGTGGGGCTGGGGGGGGGGCTCTAGCCCCCCCTACCGATTCTGAGCACATGGAGCCCCCTAAGTTTTCTCTTAAAATTTTATGCATATATGTATTAGGTAGGAGGGACTAAGGTTAAGAGAAGATAAAAAAACCTCTATTCTTTTGTTTAGCCTCTCCTAAATTTTTTTCTGGCTTCGTCACTGATCTGGTGCTACGTACTGGATCGATTTTCATGTTTGGATCAATCAAATGGAGCTTATAGAAATAATCTGTATAAAAAAGAAAAACTCTTTGGGCATGTAGCTTAGTGATTACAAGATATACGCTACAAGAGCTTTAGTAGCATCTTGGGTCCATGGGGAGCAAATTTAAACAGTGCGTACGAGTTGATCGATAGCCGTGGAAGCAAATTTAAACAGACCTACTTAAGCAAATTTAAAGACGAGGTTCGGAGATTTTCTCGGCCAGCATATGGTGACTTAGCTGGCTCTCCTTAGCTCCTTAGCTGCTTCTGTAGATTATAACCTTAGGAGGAATCCAAGCAAACTTTCATAGCTGGCTCTCCTTATTAGCTCCTTAGCTGCTTCTGTAGATTATAACCTTAGGAGGATTCAAAGCAAACTTTGAAACATGCCTTAAGATTATGTACCCAACCGTTGTACGGTGACTTTTCAAGACGCAACAAACTCTTTGTGTTTTTTGACGAGGAGCAGGGATGAAATATTCTATGTATATATTTGGAGTGGCCACTCTTGGTAGCCACACGACTCTTTTGTAGGTAATTGAAGAACAAGCATGATGAAACGTGCCACAATACTTTGACAAAAAAATTGATCTTAAATTCTCTTGCATCACCCCTTTTCTCAAAACTAGTGGACAACCTTTGTAGCTTCTGTATATCAAAAAAGAAGAAGATATACACTCCTATATGTACATACTCTATACGGAGTATGTAGGAATTTAGGCTTCCAAATGACATGACATGTACATACGCTATATGTAGTATTTATTAACAAGATTTTTTTTAAACTAACAAGATTTAAAATTTTACTATACCAAAGAAAAACTAAAATTAAAGACCATCCAAAAATATCCCCCGCCCGTGCGCAGTGGACGGAGGGGCGCTCGGCCGCCACGCGCCCTCCACGCGCTCCATCCGCCTCCTCCAAATCCCAGCCGTCCACGTGTCCCCGATCCACGACCCCCACGCGCCTATATCTATCCCTTTCCTCTCCACGCCAGCTCGCACCGCACAATCCATCCATCCCACTACCGCCGCCCAGAATTCACGCGAACGCCCAATCCTCCTTGCCCTTCCAGATGATGCTTAGGGTTTCCCCATCCCGGCCGCCGCCGTGGCCAGCCAGCTCTCTGGTGCGGCCACAACCCCGCTCCCGTTCCCGTCAGGGTGGCGGCGCCGCGCGGCGGCGTCTCGCCGTCCGCTGCCGCCGCGTGCTGGGCCGCCGGCAAAGGGAAGGAGGTGCTCAGCGGGTGGTGTTCCAGCCCTTCGAGGAGATCAAGGGGAGCTCGCGCTCGTGCCCCAGACCCCGACAAGTCGCTCGCGCGACAAAAGTTCGTCGACGACTGCGAGGCCGCCCTCAACGAACAGATCAAGTAAGTACTGTTACCTCAGTGCTCTTCTCAGTCATTAGGATTTCGGTCTGTCTGGGTGGCGTCCTGATATGGGGTTGGTGTTTGTGGATTGATGTTTGTCTCCCCATTAATGTGTATGTGTTGCTCCATTAGTTTCTGCGTCTCTGCTGTCTGCTAAGTTAAGTTGTGCGATTTATTTTCCTTTTCTTTTTTTTTCTTCAAATTGTTGCTTATTCTTAATCGCGTGATTCACATATTAGGCTATTTCTGGTGTTAGTTATCAGAAATTCCAGCCATCTGTGCGATTTGATTTTTGATCCAGTTCCAACAACCAAATAAATGCCCATATGACGTCAATTTGACTCTGGAATCTCTGGTCGTGCAGTGTGGAGTACAACGCCTCGTATGCCTACCACTCCCTCTTTGCCTACTTCGACCGCGACAACGTGGCTCTCAAAGGATTTGCCAAGTGAGTCGCCGCCTCTCACCAAGTTCAGTAACCCATCTGTAAATAAATTACAGCACTGCCATTTCATTATTTCCTCTGTAATGATGTGGTTCTGCACATTTGTTCCTCCAGGTTCTTTAAGGAATCGAGCGACGAGGAGAGGGAGCACGCTGAAAAGCTCATGGAGTACCAGGTATCATTTGGTCCTCTAATTTCTTTGACTCTTTGGTCCGTTCCATTGCACTATGCTACATATTGGGGTACTGACACAACACTGGATATGTTTTTTGTGCCATCAGAACAAACGTGGAGGCAGGGTGAGGCTCCAATCGATTGTGACGCCCTTGACCGAATTTGACCACCCTGAGAAAGGCGATGCTTTGTACGGTGAGTTGATGCGCATTTCCTTCTTGTTTGCCGAGTCTGGCCTCTGGGTTAGGATGGGGTCTGAATGTCAAGTGCCTCAGAGGAGTCTGCATGTGTGTGGTACAGCAGAGGAAGTAACAAAAGCCCACTGTTGTCAAAAAGTGGAATTTGTTCTGCAACTGAACCTAGTTGTATGGGTTGCAGCTTTCAGTATATGGATGGATGGATGATAGATTGAAAGACTAGTAGTGATTAACAGCTTAACACTGACTTATATAGAAATAGAAGGCTGGCTATTGTTAGTAAATGTTGGTTGGGTATCAGCTAGGTTGGTCTTTTGTAGGTTTGTTCATGCTTGGCATATTTGGAAGCTAATCTGGTAGCTATGTCTTGATCTGTGCCTCTTGATTGATTTCAGCTATGGAGCTGGCTCTGGCCCTGGAAAAGCTGGTTAATGAGAAGCTGCACAGCCTGCATGGTGTAAGTTGCTTTCAGTCACATGCTTATTTGTGGAGAAATATTGTGAGCTTTGCTTAAGACATACTTAAAACATTTATGGGCATATATAAATTGATTTAACTTGAGTCACTACATGTTGTTTGTACAATTGTGCCACGTACAATTTCTAATGAGTTCTCACCTGTAATTAACAGGTGGCAACAAGGTGCAATGATCCTCAGCTGACAGACTTCATCGAGAGTGAGTTCCTCGAGGAGCAGGTAAATGCAACCAAAGCATATGTTCCATATGGAACAAAATTATGCAGAACCAAATTTGATTCAATTTTGTTTCTGCTCTACTTACGACGCAATTCTTAGCTGAACGAAAATTTTGTATTTTGTTTTGAAAGGTGGAAGCCATAAATAAGATCTCCAAGTATGTCGCCCAGCTGAGGAGAGTGGGCAAGGGGCACGGTCAGTCTGTCGCTGAACTTTGGTTTCATCTGCTATGTCTCGTGCCTAAAGTTACACCTAGTTGATATTGTTGAGATGTGATTTGCGGGCAGGGGTGTGGCACTTTGATCAGATGCTGCTTGAGGAAGAGGCCTAAAGGAAGGACGGACTGTGGCTGCTCAAGGGCTAAGGGCCTGAAGGAAGGAAGGAAGTGTGAAATGATCAGGTTGGGGAATAATGGGCGGCATGGACCAGCTGACGAAGCCCTGGGGGGTGTAGGTGGATTTGTGGAGTGTTTTTTTTTTCTTTCTTTCCCGGTTGGTTAGGGTTTTAGTTGTAGAAACGGTGTTGCCCTCCTACAGAGAACATGATGCACTGAAATGCAGTAGAGCATGTGATATTATTATTGCTGCCGGTCAGTTTGGGGTGCTTATTGTGAGACGTTACCCTTTGGGATTTTGATTGTTTGAAATAAAACAAATATGGCGATGAAAGTGTGCTCTGATATTACCTTGCCGTGACTTTGCGAGCACCGAGGAGATGATCGTCGTTAGTATACTGTGTAAAGAGACGTGGAGGATTATTTCTCCTACGACTCCCCCATGCGATCCCGCGAGTAGAGAAAGGCGCCGGTCTGCCCGTGCGATCACCACGCGAGCGCTCGCTTCCCCGATCCATCCCCTCCAATCACGCTCCCCTCCTGCGATCCCGCTCCCTCACGCAGCCTCCCCCTCGCCCACGCCGCCGCTCGCCCGCTGGACACCACCAGGCCTCCCTGCCCTCCCACGAATGCCACACGCCGCCGCTGACGTGCGCGGAACGCACCGCCGCCTCTACGCCGACGAACCGCGAGGCGCGCCACCGAACCGCGGGATGCGCCGCCATCTCGACGCCGCCAGACGCGCCACTGCCTCCACGACCTGCCTCGCTGCCGTCGCCGCCGGAACGACCCTGCCCCGTCAATCCAGGCGCCCAGGTCTCCGCCGTCGCTGCTTCGCGCCGCCGCCGCCGGACGCCAGCCGCTCACCGGCGAGGAGCGCCCAACAGGTATGTCCTTCATTGGATCCACGCCTGCAGTTGTGTGTGCTCTTAGCCTACTAACTTTGATCCCTTTCAAAGTCACTAGAACCTAGGTTCGCTGTTGTATACTACTATGATTTGGTTTGTACTTTTGAGTGCCAAATCACATGTGCATATGTTATCTATTGTACTAATCCTGAATACGTTTAGAAAAGTGATTCTACAGTTTTTCATGTGCTACGTGGATTACATTACATTTATTCCTTAACAAATCTCGCAAGCCCTCCTTTCGTGATCTAGAACTGACAATTGCTGTTTTACTCAGTAAAACTTACTATAAAAGAATAGCCTACTAGCACTCTCCTGTATTTCAGAGGTTCAATAAACTGAGTGAGCTGTAAGTGCCCAATGTAGCTTTTCTATCCACAACCAGCTCACCATATGCATCAAGCAATGTAGTTAATTTCTCCAGCGAATCCATCTTGAAGGAACTTCTGCAAATAATAGTGATTATTCTTATTTGTAAGGTATCTCTGTGGCAAATTGCAGGCAAAGCCGCTCGTCGCACTCGCGCCGTCGAGCTCGCTCCGCTCTGATCCGCGGCCGTTTGCATGTACACTCTGTGACTGGTGGAGACAATGTTATTCCTCTCAATACAAAATTTAAAATAGGAGGTTTGTACATTCTATTTCTTACCTAAGAAATATGAATTTTCTCTACCTAATCTCTTACCCTGTATCGATGTTTCAAAATGTGCATTGCTTCATGTGTCTTGGCTGTTGTTAAAAAAAAACAATTATCAAGGGTGAAATAATCTTGTCTTTCCCCCTGCGTATGGTTTCCTATGGAATGAAACATCTTCTATTGCCTCTTCCATGATTTGACTATCAGCAATCTGTTAAGTGATCCTTTTTGTTGCTCTATGTTAGTGATACACATTAACAGCTGTTAAGCTGTCTTGGAATGTTTTTTGTTAATGATCAATGATGTGTAAATGGTTGAGGCATATGTTGTTATTTATCATCCATTTTTTATTAGGCCTGGTGCAGTGGTCTATGCATGGATAACGGCTTTGGATTTCTGTTGTGCAATGGAGGGAGTAGTAATGAAATAGCATGAAGGGTCTTATTTTACGGCATGCTCCACACAGAAATCTCTTTACTTCAATGACTGTCTTTGTTTCTCAAAGAAATCAGGAAATCTAGATTCACTTCAACCTGCAGATGGTGTGTTGTGCTGACTAGCAGTTGTTTTTTCAGTGTTCTTTTTTTAATATGCTATATTCTCTTCTTAAGAATGTTCAGTATCAGTACTAATTATGTCACACTGACTATCAATCTCCTGTCTCATGCAGAGTTACTTTGGTGCTTCTCTGACTGTATCAACCTGAAACTGAGAACTCAAGTTACTTTGGTGCTTTTCTGGTAATAAAATCTGCACCCTGATTATCGCAAGGTTTTTTATATTGGCCAATTTATTTGCTGTTGCATAAACACTTTTGACATGAGCTGATCCTATTATAATTAAAGTGGTACAAAAGATAGTCTGAATTCCTACTCAACCATGTCCCCTGTGCCTGCCTGGAGTTGATCTTGTGATTAAATGCCCGTGCAGCGCCATCTGAATAATGCATTGTTTTAGGTAAATGCACGGGTCTCCTGTCCCCAAGATGTCTTCCAGTGAGGTTTTGTTAATTCATTTGGTTTATGAATCCTTTGATATTAGCGTTCTGGTCTGAATAGTGCCTTGTTTGATCAAGTTTGGTTGTAGGTTTAATCTGATTTTTCATTCATGAATTTCTAATTCCCTACATAATCTGCTCTTGTTTCAGATTAGCATGCTCTTGTATGTTTTACTGTAGTTTACTGAACTTTGATTTACTTGTAATATTTGCAAGGTTAGAAATCTGGGTTCATTAATATTGTACTATCAAAGATTTCACAAACGAAATAGATATCCCAGTTACTGAACTACACTACAAGTTTAGTAACCTTGAGCAGTACTTGAACTATTTGCAAGCATAATCAATTTGCTATACTGCATTTTGTGTATTAATTCACATACATACATATATATAAGAAGACTGCACTCCATATAGAGTGCCACTGCATGGACACAGTTTACAGTTATCTGTAGAGATAGAAAACAACTGAAGAAATTATGGTATTCCTGTATGAATCTTTGGGGCAGGGGGTGAATGATTCATGGATGGCGTACATGTTAGTTTGTCCACAGGACCGCAGCCACCATGTGATGCTGCTAACCTTGTTCTCTATTTGTTAATGCATTTGGTGTATGTTCAGGCTAAAGGATATATGTCTCTTATCTGATGATGTATGCACCTATTGTTTCATGGTCTCATACATATGTATGATTTAGTCTAATAAACAGCAGTTACCATAGTTAGTCACAAGAATTGACAAGTGAAAAATGGAATTACAGCCTAGCAATGATGAGTTAGTGACCTGCGTGGATTATTGAAAGCTAATTTCTTGGACTCTAAAAGCAACTGTAAACAGATATGGCACCATTGATGGCAGCAGAAGGCTAGCTATTGGAGAGAAAGAAGGCTAGCTGGGTGACTCATCTGCTCCTGGTGCTTGATGGCAGGAAGAAGGAAGAGCTACTGGTTGCTGCTAAGGTGTTGGTGGAGATTAGAACAGAGAGGAGGAGGTGTGCTTGCCTATTTGGAGGAAGAAAAAGAAAGAAGCTAGCTTTGGGGATTGCTTGCTCGGTGGAGTGGAATCGATCGGGTACTAGGAACCTCTGGTCCTTTCTTTTTCGTGTTTGGTGTTGGGCGAAAAAGGGATCCTGTCTTTGAATGGGCATTTTAAATGGTAGAATTTGGGGGAAGTCTTAGCTTTGGTTTGAGTGGAAAATGGCGCATCAAGAACTTCGATTTTGTAATCAGTTTAGTGTATTTTTCTTCCATTTTTGCCATTGGGGTGGTGATGGGGGGAATTCTTCCTCACAAGCATCTGAACTGAGCAGTTGATGATTTGAGTGGTTGTGTGCAAGATGGGGACCTGGTGAAGCTGCACATATATGATCCCAGCCAGGGGATGACTGAACAGCTCTTGGCGCAAATTGATGATCCTCGGCATGACCATTGAGGCGATTTGGTGACCATTGTTGGTTCTTTTTTCTTCTTCCTGCTGCTCACTGTGTATATGAGATTTGCCTAAGAAAGAATTCTTGGATCGGGCCACGATTGGAAATATTTAAAATGAAAGTGTTTGTATGTTTGCCTATTTCAAATATTTGTTAGGGAAAAAATCACACTTTTGCTTTATCTCAGCAGGGCAGCAGAGGAGCAAACTATTGGGGAAAAAGAGAGCGAAGGGTACGTTCGGTTGCTAAATAACTATTGACGAAATAGATTCCTGTAGGTGTAATTCATTGCGTAATGTACATCATTGCACACATTATGTTTGTCATGGCGTAGTGGTTAAATATTTGTGCCACAATCTGGCAAAAATTTATGGGAGATGTATTGCTGGATTATGGATTCTTGGCAAGGCAGATTGTGTGTATCAGAGGTGAAAAAGACATCCTTTTGTTTTAGCTTTGGATTGTAAAATCATGCCATAGTTCTTGTTGGCCGTGCACCACACTTCCTCCCGGAGTATGGCCTTCAGAATGGGTTGAAGGCATGTTACTATCGAAGAAGTGGGGCCTCAGTATACTAGTCCTGTATGAAGCTAACTGATAATTCAAAGAAATGGTTAGTTCTAAAAGGTCGAGGAATTAATTAATCTGGTTATGGTGATATGAACTTTTATGTGTGTACGCACAAATGTATAATACTATAAATGCATACTTTGATGATTGCAAATCATCAATGAGAATTTTAGCCATGCACAAAATACAATTTGTAATATTGACATTCCAAACATCACACTCGCATTATCGTTTTTTTAACAATATAACATGTTTATGCTCAAATTATTAGGGCATTATTTGTTCCCGTTGCAACGTACGGAAATGTCTATACAATAGAGTTGGTGAGCCTGCGACGCCGCGTTCTACATGAAAGTGTTAATTTCACGAATTTTATTTTTTGGATTAAATGTCACTTTAACGTTGGTATTTAATTTTATCGTATTGTTATCTAATCGTTCGATCCGTGTGGTTTTA